TGCTTTTTTACAATTATTCCAGCAGTGGCATTTTAATTTTGAATACCTATGTTTATTGTGAAATAATAATAAAATTAATTTAATTTAATTAATAAAAAATTAAAAACCCGATTCCTAGTAGTCCATGACAGTAGTTACAAATCTGAAATGTTTTATTTGGGTCAAGGGTAGAACAACTGGAAATGGGAATCATAATAATTATTATAATATAATAATATATAATATTCAATTTTAGGATAAAAATATAAATTTTTAACTCAAAAAGTTTCTTGATTTTTTTATGAAATTTGTCAAAATTTTAACTACATACGCTCATAAGAAACTATTGTGGATATATGGTAGACTTTTTTTTAATTTCCAGCAACAACACTTTAGGAGGAATGTTGTAGGTTAGGTAAACATACTTATAATGCATATTGTATAAAATGTTCAAATCTTACATTTAAAAATTAAATTTTTTATGAATTTCTAACTCATACATAATAATTTGCACATTTTCATAATTTTTACGTATTATGTCAAAATTTGAACTTTAAATATCGCCAGGCAATTTTCAACTGTCATTGGTCTGATGTACAATTGCTTAGTTTACACACAATTTGTTCGATAACTTTGAGGATCGCAAGGTGAATCTAGTTTGGAACACAATTGCACGTGTTGTATGGTCAATTGTCAATTTACTGTAATAAAATCGACTAGGACACTAGGTGGAATTGGCAAACGAGTCCCTGTCGAAGCTGAGAACTCGAATCAGTTGAAATCACCACAAAAAACACCATTACATAATATTATGTACACACTCATACATTCACCATTCAGTCTAGTAAGTCTAATAAATATAAACGCCGATATACCTAAGTGTTTTAAATAAATAAATAATAAATTTAATAAAGTATACGAATATTCTACAGTTTTTGTCCCCACTTAACCAACCCTCCCCCCCAAAAAAATATATGTGGCCCGGTAATGATTTGAATGGCCTTCAACCATTTTGGCACCAAAAAAAAAAAAGTTGAAATGACGCCCCTGCCATTCACCTTACACGGAAATAAGCACACCATGGTTGTATACTTGATAGCTTTAAATTGCTTTTTTGGTTGAACTTGACCGATTTCAAGCAAAGATTAATAGATCAGTAAATTAATCCGAGTGATTGCTTTATTGGCTGCACCTCAATATAATAAGTTATTTGCCAAACGCATACGTTCATATTAATCATTACATATTTTGTATTCAAACGCACATCGGCACTAATAAAGTCGATAACATTTCTGAATATATTGCAATGATCATCAGTAAAAAATTATAAATCACAAGTTTAGGTTATTATGTGAATTGTGAATAAAAGAATGCAAAGTTTCAAATGTTCATCAGTTACACCTATACACTTACGTGCGTTGTTTCATGTTTGTATCACTCATCGTTATTGTATTAACGTATTTACTTAATACATTTAATACATTCAGTATGAATACGTTTAAGCTTTCTAATATTTTATTTAACATTGTGATTTTACATTTAATTGTAAAATGTGTATCAGAATATTCAGAATCGACAGAAGTTTTAACTTGTGACGAGTATTTCGATATATACAAAACCTATGGATTTAAATATTGTTATAGATATAGTGAGAAATGTATTGACAGTATAATTAGAATTCCAGAAACTAAAGTACAAAACTAATGGAAAATATTGCAATATATACAGTGAGAAATGTATTGACCATCTACATTTCAATTCAGAAACTAATTTGCCGTTTTTTGTAAAACATAATTTTGCATTGGACTCTACATGGAAATCTGTCGGAAATATTATATATTGTAATAGTGGTACTTGTCATGCAGAATTTACTATAAAGATTGAAAAAAGTACACAGATTGAATATGGCAATAAAAAATCTTCAACGCAATCGTCCACATTGGGATATAGTGAAGCTGTTGCAAAGGCTATAGCTGACGGTGTGAATGCTGGTTTTTCGGGCATGGGCATACAATTTGGCGTATCGACTGAAACTTCTGTACAAAGTAATGGTGAACTATCATTTGAAGTTACTAATAAGAATGGTTTTACTGTATTGTATTCAACTAGTACAGAAAATACTGTCGGTGCGGAAGAAAAAATCACATGTGATGGAGTTCAAAATGAAAAAATATTTATGGAGGCGCGAACAAACATCACACGATTGAGGGGCAACGTTTGCGAAGTTGTATGTAATGATGATATGATTGGAAGCATTTTCAGGTGTAATTACGTTGATTTAAAAATGTATCCAGTCAGGGGCGCATTAAGGGTTCACATATGGGGGGGCAAAATTATTTTGCGCCCCTGGTGTATTTTATGAATATTAATAAAAGTATAAAAAACTTTAAAAAAATTTCCTCGCTGCGCTCGCAAAATTAAGTTAGTAACTTACATTACATACAGTTATTATACCTACATAGATATCTTATTAAATTAATTAATAAATATCTATTTAGAACTTGGAATAATATTCCTTTCTTTTAAAATAGTACTGGTAATTGGAAATTATTATGTAAAATGTTTATATTTCATTAACTAATAAATACCTCCTAGTAAGCAACTCCTATATTTTTAGTTATTTATGGAGTACCTATGTATTAAACATTGACTTATAATAATAAATATATCTTTATTCTTTATTAACAATAAAATATTATTACATATTATAAAACTATTTAAATGACAAATATGGAACAATACTAATTAAAATATTTTTTTTTCTTATTTTTTTGTTCACAAACTCTTTTATAATACTTGACCAATCAATACTTCTAAGCATCTCATTTTCTATTGACAGCAATGAAAGGGAAGATATTTTATCTTGAGATAAGGTGGATCTTAAATAATTTTTAACTCGTCGAAGCACTGAAAATGATCGTTCACCACTCGCATTGGTACAAGGCATACAAGCAAAGATTCTTAAAATTATAAGAACATTAGGAAAGGTAGCTTTTAATGGAGAACTAGATAATTTTTTTAACAGTCCGTTCATAGATAAATCATTATTGTGATATGATTCAGTAATTTTTTTGAATTGAATAACTTCTTCAACAAATGATGTATTCAAATTGTTGGGTACGGATCCGTCACACGTCTCGCGGACTTCGGTCGACCGTTCGTCGTTATCGGCCTACACCCCACCACGAGCACACGCGCTTCATACAACACCATCCCGCCGTTGTCGCGCGTTTTTGTATTGTCGCCGTTCCGTTGTCCGCCGTCCGTCGTTCGTGGCTCAGCCATCTCGGCTCGTTCGTCGTAACGAAGTTGTGTTTCTTTATGGCCGTCTGCGCCGAAACCACCGCCTGGACATATTTTGAGTCCGCTTTCGTGTCGTGTCCTTGTGCATACACACGAATTGTGTTTTAAGGCCGTTTTGCGCCAAAACAACCGTTTTCGTCCGTCGTCTCTCGTCCGTCGTACGTCGCTCAGCCATCCTGGCTTTTTCGGCTTAACGGTTTTGTGTTTTTTTCATACCTTGCGGCCGTCTGCGCCAAAAGTACCGCCCGGACAGTATTGGGTCCGTTTTCGTGTAGTGTCGTTCTGCACACACACGAACTTCATTATTTTGCGGCCGTCTGCGCCAAAATAATAACCGCCGTTTTTCGCCGTCCGATCGTTTCGCCGTGCGACCCCGAGCCGTGCACCTACACGTCCACGTGGTTTCCGTCCGTTCGCTTGACGCAGTGCGAAATCACCGAACGCGGTGCGCTCACCTAGTTTTTTTTGTATTGTTGTGCCGTTGTGGACGACGTCCGTCCCGCAACCCGAGCCGTGCTCAAAATTTGTTAAGTTACATTCGCGCCCACGTGTTTTCGTCCGCCGTCGTTACCGGCCGCATATACGTGGTGTCGTCGTACCTGTTCGTCACGTTCGACGTAGGTGCAAGTGCTGCACACCAGTTCAACGTCCGTTGTCACCGTCTCACCGTCGAACCGGGTCAGTTGCCGCATTCTCACCGTGGTATCATCGAACTTTCATCGTATCAGGTCGTACACACGATTATCTTGTTTGTTATTGTCATAGACCTTATACTCATAGACGGAGCATGATCGTAGTTCCCGCGGCAAATACAGGGTGCGCTGCACATGTGTGGAATCATCTTCTGCGCATGCGCGAAAACACAACCAGGTTGTGTTACAATAGTAATATTTATCATAATGTGGTATGCACTATGCATCATCACAGCATATTTAAATATTTTATTAATAATATTGCCATTAGATTATAATTACTACAGTAGTTATTTACTATTGTATCAGAGCAATAATTATTTAGCATTATAATATTATTATAGTATTACGCTATTATATTTATTAAGTCTTATAATATTATGTGGTAAGTGTTAATAACAATGTTTTTGGTCGCAAGGAATGGTATCACTGCTGGCACGATAGGAATGACCGCACCACCAACCCGCATCCCACCTGGATGCTCCGTCTATGAGTATAAGGTCTATGGTTATTGTTTACATTTATTACTCGCATTACGCAACCCATACGTTTTTTTGTATTATTATATATTGAATTATTATAGTAGTTTTTTGCCGATCGAGTTGTGATCGTGCCATGACAAATACTATTACTAACACTAGTACGTAAGATATTTGAACTTGCAGAACACAACAATAAATTGTTCTGCACCATATATTTATGTAAAACCATTGTTGTCATTTAGATTAGACATCCCACTCATCCCCTTAGCATTCATACAACCTCAAAATACAGTCCACTCTCTCATCCTCCTCCCCACCGATAGAACGTCGAGGAATATTATACCTACGAAGACAACGAACGCGTCGGTTTACGTGTAGCTGCCGCCTGGCATACACATCCAGATACATCCGTCGCCCGGCTTCCTTGTGCAGCCCCCTTCTTCGCACATTTTGTGGTCCTTCGGGCCGGATAGTTCACAAAATCGTTGTCTTTCGTTTCAAGTTGTTCTTGTATTTTTTAACGTTGCACTAATATTGTTCGATAATGACAAACAAAACTAAAAAAAATGAAACGGCCGAGCAAGCGTTGGAATGTGCGCGTATTGCACGTAACCGCGCACAAAAATCAATATCGGATATTTTGAACATCGCGAGGCTATCTGTGAACAATCCCGCGAAACGGGAACAATTATCCGCTAGTGTGAAACGCTTAGATAGTTTTTTTTCTCGTTTTCAAGCTGAACAAGATGTTATTATTAATTCATTGGTCGTTGTCGGTCGTTCCGATGAGTACGAATCGATCGATTCACCCGTAGTGGATACCGTCGAAGCCGTTGTCGACGAAATTCGCGAAATTGTTGATCGAACGTCTGAAGTAACCGCGGCCATACAACCGGTACCTACTCGGCAATCGTTTAGTGCACTTCCGAAAATTGAATTGCCGTCGTTCGATGGGTCCATAACAAATTGGTGTGCGTTCCGTGATAGTTTTAAATCTCTTGTACATGAAGATTCCAATGTCGATAATATACACAAATTTCAGTTGTTGTCACAGAGTCTGACCGGTTCTGCATTATCCGTAATTAAAGATATTCCGTTGTCGGCGGCGAATTATAACGTTGCGTGGGCAGCGCTCACCGACCGATTTGAAAATAAACGTTTGCTCGCAACTGCTCATTTGGACAAGCTTTTCGCTTTCAAACCTATAGCATCGAAGTTAGTACTTACCGCCGCGAGTAATCCTATTCATAAGAATAAAGGCCTGTCGTCATCTTCGTCAAAATTGAACAAACCTAAAAATTGCACTATTTGTGATCGTGGTAAACATTTTTTGTATCTCTGTCCGGAATTTAAGACATATCCCGTATCACAACGTCGGGAATACGTCAAAGAAAATAAACTGTGTTTTTCGTGTATGAGTTCAACACACATTGAAGACACGCCCAACACGAAGCGAGGAGTGTTATCCGCCATTGCTAGATTGTTTGACCCCATTGGTGCCCTCGGTCCGATGCTATTGTGGGCGAAGTCATTCATGCAACAACTTTGGCAGACGCAGTTAAATTGGGACACTCCACTTCCTCCATATCTACGTATAGCATGGCGTCAATTTTTATCAGAGCTTCCGTCGTTGTCTAACCTTACTATCACTCGCCATATTGACATCCGAGAATATCAGGACGTTCAGCTTCTAGGATTCGCCGATGCGTCCCAGCGGGGTTACGCCGCGAACGTGTACCTTCGTGTGGTCCATCCAACTGGTAAGGTTTCCGTTTCTCTTGTGACATGCAAGACCAAGGTCGCCCCTTTGAAGGGTAGTGAAAGGGATGAGTCTCTTACCATACCTAGGTTAGAGTTATGTGCGGCCCTATTGTTGGCTCAGCTGTTGCATCGTCTCCACACGAAAATCGCGTCTGTCATCCCTATATCACATGTGCGTGCCTGGACTGACTCGTCAGTCGTCTTGTCTTGGCTTACGGCGGATCAAAAAATGTTCAAGATTTTTGTTACTAACAGAGTAGCCAAAATTCATACTCTACTTCCAAATTGCAAGTGGTCACATGTACGTACCACAGAGAATCCTGCGGACCCTTCATCACGCGGATTATTGCCTAGTGACCTTGTAGCTTGTACGCTGCATTGGAAGGGTCCAACGTTTTTACAGTTTTCGGAAGATCAATGGCCAGGACCACAACTCGAAACACTCAGTCTTGACGGCTTACCTGAGGTGAAGAATCCGTCCACGTGCGTGATGGTTGTCTGTGAAACGCCGAGCTTCGATACCTTTCTACTTCGTTTTTCATCATGGTCCCGTCTTCAGCATGCGTTAGCATATGCGTTGCGCTTCGTTGATCGTGTAATCGTAAAGCGACCCACGAACACGGACGTCCTTACACCAGATGAATGACAGCGTGCAATGCGACTTGCCGTTCGAGTCACTCAACGTACATATTTTCCCGAGCTCCTAAAACAACTGGCCAAACCCAACCACCTAGTGACGCCCTCGACTATGGCTCAGTTAGCACCTTTTATGGACCATGCAGGATTAATTCGAGTTGGTGGTCGGTTGCAGCGTTCAATGTTGTCTGATGACGCGAAACACCCGTATCTACTTCCGAAGGAATCCCACGTCACGTCACTGCTGATCACCGCGTTTCATCGAAGACTCTTACACGCAGGACCGAAGCTCATCATCGCGATGCTACGTCAAGAATTTTGGATTGTGTCATGCCGGGAGGCCGTTCGTCGTGTTATTTTTAAGTGCGTCACGTGCACAAGGCACAAAGCACTACATCCAACACCCCGTATGGGTATCCTGCCTGAAGCTCGTGTCCATTCAGTTCGCGCGTTTTCGAGTGTCGGCACGGATTATGGAGGACCCTACCTCATTAAAGAATGTAAAAGACGAAACACGAAAACCACTAAAGTCTACATTGCGTTATTTGTTTGTATGGCTACCAAAGCCATACATCTTGAAATTGTTTCCGATTTGACAGCCGACGCGTTTCTTGCCGCTCTAGATAGATTTGTCGCACGCCGGGGTGTACCAGCACATGTGTATTCAGATTGCGGCACAAATTATGTTGGTGCTGCTAGACAGTTAAAACAGATATTTCGGGATAAAAACGTCCAAGCCCAAGTGTCCGCTCATGTCGTTTGCGATTGGCATTTCAATCCACCTGCCACGCCACATTTTGGTGGACTCTGGGAGGCGGGCATCAAAAGCGTGAAGTTCCATTTGAAACGAGTGATTGGCACTCAAGTGCTTACCTACGAAGAGTTCGAGACATTGTGTGTTCGAATCGAGGGAATTCTTAACTCTCGCCCTCTCACTCCAGCTTCGATGGACCCACATGATCACACCGCCTTGACCCCTGGACATTTCCTCATCGGACAACCAATCATGGAAGTACCAGAAGTAAACCTCACCGAGGTTCCGATGAATCGACTGACACGTTGGCAGCTTCTTCGACAGATGCATCAGTCGTTCTGGAAGCGATGGTCACGGGAGTACTTGAATACGCTCCAGGGTCGTCAGAAATGGACTACTATCCAGGATAACCTTAAAGTGGGGGATCTTGTCATTGTGGATGCTCCAAATCAGCCCCCTTCCGTATGGCGTATGGGACGCATTACAGCTGTTCATCCAGGTCCAGACCAAATCGTCCGCGTAATTACCATCATCACACAAGATGGGGAGATGAAGAGACCGGTGGTCAAAGTTGTTAAACTGCCAACAGATAAGTAGACTGTCCTGGCTTCCTCTCGTTCATCCTCCATCCTTTTTTAAATTGTATATGTATCGCTGTACCATTCAATGTATTTTTATATTTGTATTTTTTATGTATTTTTTGAACCCGCAATTGTTTGTAATGTGTACGATCTGGTCTTTCAACATCAATCTTCAGCTCTGATGGTTTCTTGAAAGCCCACGGCTTTCAACGGGGGAGAAAATGTTGGGTACGGATCCGTCACACGTCTCGCGGACTTCGGTCGACCGTTCGTCGTTATCGGCCTACACCCCACCACGAGCACACGCGCTTCATACAACACCATCCCGCCGTTGTCGCGCGTTTTTGTATTGTCGCCGTTCCGTTGTCCGCCGTCCGTCGTTCGTGGCTCAGCCATCTCGGCTCGTTCGTCGTAACGAAGTTGTGTTTCTTTATGGCCGTCTGCGCCGAAACCACCGCCTGGACATATTTTGAGTCCGCTTTCGTGTCGTGTCCTTGTGCATACACACGAATTGTGTTTTAAGGCCGTTTTGCGCCAAAACAACCGTTTTCGTCCGTCGTCTCTCGTCCGTCGTACGTCGCTCAGCCATCCTGGCTTTTTCGGCTTAACGGTTTTGTGTTTTTTTCATACCTTGCGGCCGTCTGCGCCAAAAGTACCGCCCGGACAGTATTGGGTCCGTTTTCGTGTAGTGTCGTTCTGCACACACACGAACTTCATTATTTTGCGGCCGTCTGCGCCAAAATAATAACCGCCGTTTTTCGCCGTCCGATCGTTTCGCCGTGCGACCCCGAGCCGTGCACCTACACGTCCACGTGGTTTCCGTCCGTTCGCTTGACGCAGTGCGAAATCACCGAACGCGGTGCGCTCACCTAGTTTTTTTTGTATTGTTGTGCCGTTGTGGACGACGTCCGTCCCGCAACCCGAGCCGTGCTCAAAATTTGTTAAGTTACATTCGCGCCCACGTGTTTTCGTCCGCCGTCGTTACCGGCCGCATATACGTGGTGTCGTCGTACCTGTTCGTCACGTTCGACGTAGGTGCAAGTGCTGCACACCAGTTCAACGTCCGTTGTCACCGTCTCACCGTCGAACCGGGTCAGTTGCCGCATTCTCACCGTGGTATCATCGAACTTTCATCGTATCAGGTCGTACACACGATTATCTTGTTTGTTATTGTTTACATTTATTACTCGCATTACGCAACCCATACGTTTTTTTGTATTATTATATATTGAATTATTATAGTAGTTTTTTGCCGATCGAGTTGTGATCGTGCCATGACAAATACTATTACTAACACTAGTACGTAAGATATTTGAACTTGCAGAACACAACAATAAATTGTTCTGCACCATATATTTATGTAAAACCATTGTTGTCATTTAGATTAGACATCCCACTCATCCCCTTAGCATTCATACAACCTCAAAATACAGTCCACTCTCTCATCCTCCTCCCCACCGATAGAACGTCGAGGAATATTATACCTACGAAGACAACGAACGCGTCGGTTTACGTGTAGCTGCCGCCTGGCACACACATCCAGATACATCCGTCGCCCGGCTTCCTTGTGCAGCCCCCTTCTTCGCACACAAATCTTCAGTATATATACTTACAATGTTCAATGCACTTTGATGAACACTTAAAGTGTCCGAACCATTCAAATCAAACAAAAAACTAAAGTTTTTATTAATAACTAGATAGGCTGCCTTTCGTTCATTTAAATTTGAACATAATGTATCAATGATCACATAAAAAATATCATTCTTCATTTTATTTTTTCCAATGTGAACAGTACTATTAAAATTAGAATCATTGTAAAATGCTGTTCTTTTTTTTTCTTGTTTCTTCCCAAGAAAAATAAGTACAAAAGAATAGTATATTAGTATGATAATACTAATTATTATTAGTTGTTTCTTAAACAAGCGAGTTTTCCATTATGTCATACAATTTGCGTGTTTTCTTTTTGACTCTGAGATACAAAAAAAAAAAAAATTACAAAAAATGTACCGCCCCCAAAAAACTTCCGCCCGGGGCAAATGCCCCTTTTGCCCCCCCCCCCTTAATGCGCCCCTGTATCCAGTACATAATGAAAATATAGTCACCGAATTGAAATGTAACCGTGAAATAATAGATTTATATAATGAACTATAATAGAATTATTAGAACTATTTTAGTAAACAATATTAGTAGTATTGTTGAATAATAAAAAAACATTCATTACATTATGTATATTGTTTTTATTTTTTCAGTATAAAAACATTAATTATATCGAAAACACCGCGTTCAAGGTAATCTTGCATTATCATAGACATGTAAAGTATAAAGTCAAATTTCTAAAAATAAAATGTATATTTCTCATTGGCATGACGTCGGCGTCCTTCCTTCTAGCACTTGTGCTTAAAATTCTAAGTAATTTTCAAAAGCGCCAAGAAAAACAAAAGAATAATTAAGGAAAAACGGGAATTTTTACGCAAAATCGAATTTGGTTTTTTTTGTAACTTTAAAAATAATAACCGTAAGTACATAAAATTTTCACTGGTTGTTTATATTTGCATTTTCTATACACGATAACAATTTCAAAATATTTTGATTTATTCTGAACTGTTTAGGGACATTTTCATTTTCCATGTATAAATATCAATAAAGTTTTATCTATTGGGCCAAAAAGTGTAAAAAATGTAACACAAGGCTCCTGATTTATTGTTACAATATTGAATAATTAAAATTGAATAATTATTTTGTAGTTAAAAATCTATAAAATGTTCAACTTTTATATCTAAGGATTGAAAATTTAAAACAAGATTCCACGTAAGTAGTTTATTCTGTTACCAAAAAATCTAAAAACTACATTAGCGGAATAATCAACATACAAGTATTAAAATGATAATTATTATAAAAAAATTAATTTTTTCTTATATTTTTTTTTCATTGTTTATTATTAAATAGTAAATATTATAATACATTATATCTACAACTATCAATGGCTACATAGTTTTAGTCAATAATGACGATGACTGGTCAATCATAGAAATTATGTATTAATATTAAATTTGTTCTATTATTGTCTATCTTAGTTAGGTATTCTCTAAAATGACTAGCCAATAATATCAATGCCTATGTAAAACAGTCAGTGTTAACATAGATTAGTCATTTTTAACAATACCTAATTATCATCATTGGCGGTAACATATCTAATTTAATATTTATTATACTAGACAATACATTTATTTTATTAAATTAAGGTAACTATAAAAAGAATTACATCTAGTATATGACATTAAACAATAACTTATTATGTCACAGTTAAAAAAATATATAATATAATATATAAATATTAAATATATATAATAAATAGTTCAGTAACATATTATATATTAGGTATTACCTACTTATTAATTGTTATAAAGTAGGTATACAAGTATAGCTGTAATCTGCATTTTACATTGTCAATAATTGTCATTTGTACATAGTTAAAAAAGTGTTTAAAGGTAAATAATTGTCATTTGTCATTTGTATATAATTTTAAAAAATGTTTAAAGGTAAATAATTGTCAAAGTCAATTGTATATAATTTAAAAAAAATTAAAATAATTAAAAAAATGTAACTGTGTACAAATTTAAAATAATTTAGTGGCATTGCTTTCTAATGTTGTGGACAACTGCCATGCCATAAGAAAATCTAATATACTTTATATATCATTATTTTTATTTTGCATACATACATATTTTAGGCGGTTTTCAGTTGATTGTTTTGTACCTAGTTTTGTACACTGTACTCTGTCTCCTACATTACTCAACGACAATTTTGCTTGAGGTGGTATATTTTCTTTCAAGCACGTCATTCCATCTATCGCTTTATCCAGATGCAGAAAAGGTAAGCTATCGATCATACCACAATACTTTATAAAGTCACTATCTTCTTTGTAAATGGTCGCCAAACCAAGTTTTTGTAATTTTCTATGAGCCGACGGACATAAATGATAAAACACCCATTTACCGTGATATGATTTCCTAAAATATTTTTAGGGGCATTTATTACAGCTACCTAACTCAAAATTAAAGTATAGTAAGGCCAAGTCGAGTATCTTGGAGCTGGATACGTATCGCGGGTTTTACATCCATTTATTATAATATTAAACATTTCCTCATACCTATGTAACTTGAGTTTTAAGCTCAAGAATACAATAAACAGCTATAATAATAAACATTGCATTTTCCTGTACACGTATCACATATAATTGTTTAAAAAATTCAGGAGCAAGGCCAAAGTTTCCATCGCTAAACCCTGTGACATCTGTGACAAACATAATCATCCTTTCACTGCAGGTATTTGGGCCGTTATTGTAGAGTAAAAATCCTTCTTGACCATATTCTTTATATTCACCTATTAAATTTAAAATTAAATACATAAGTACCTAATCGATTTAAAAATCAATTTTTCTTTTAATAATGTACATGTGCGTAATGTTCGGTACATTTATTATAGATTTATTACTCATGATATAAATATTAGAACTCTCATCTCTAAACATTGTACGTTGACTTTTACAATATTTTTATTTATAAACGAGATGTGGCTATGTATGATCTTCGTTCATCACTTCATTGAACTTGATTTAGTACATCTCCAACGAATCATAGTTTTGCATTCTTTTTGAATGTTGTACAAATATTCACCGTATTGAATTTGAGGTTTTTTATTATTATTTCGAATCGTTTCCATTTTATATTCGCACTTTTGATTCAAACATCTGGAGGCAGCATTCCCTATGTTTCAGACCTCAGTAAAATTTAAATGCCCGCCACATCGGCCGGAAATACCTCCAATAGATAACAGTTCTGACTTATCACTAAGATACTAATAATTGTTATCAAATAAATAACAACATAATATTATTATTTCATTGTTGGCCGACTTTTGATTTTAGAATCATTCGATTAATTGAAATTTGAACAGAAAAACAAACTACATTCGTGCAGAGTTGTATTCATACGTTTTAGTTAAAAATGACAATGC